TTGAGCAGTGAATGCAAATTAAAATGAGATACTCTTTTAGCCTGTCTCCAGAAGGTCAAAACCTGAAATGGCATAGCAGTAACTGTTAGGGAGGCTGTGAGGTGTCAGGACTGGAAACTCCCATATCTTCCACTACAAGTACAAATGGACACAGCCTCGGTTACTTAGCAAAACCAAGAATCTACCAGGATTGAGCTCACAACAGGTCTATGAGGAGACATGTGAAGTCTCAAGATTTCTGGAAGCCTCTCGGTGCATCAGGTTGGCCAGTGCTTCAGTCAAGCCTCAGGTCTTCCAGGGTGAGCAGCGCATAGCCCCTGCCGTAACCAGGAAGAAGGTCCCCCACACAGCGAGGCACAGAAACACCACAGGACACTTAGGTTTAGAAGTGTGGAACTTGCAAAAAGACACACGGCTGCACTTCCACTGAATATTGACAGCATTGACATACTCGCCAGGACTCGAAAACCACCACATACAAGAGCCCCTGTATCTGCATTTTAGGGGGCATAATTTAAGTCAGAAGACTCAAAAGAATCGTGCATCACCACCTGCCTTCAGCTCTGGAAATCACTTGTCATCCTCATTGGAGCCACTGTGCATAGAGGGAGAGGACATGTGTTGGAAGGGAAAGGACCCTGGTTGTGGTCCCTCAGGCTGGCCTGGGAAGAGGCCAAGGCAGCCTAGGTGGGACTGTCCCTGCAGCGGGCACCAGGCTGAGCCCAAAGCAGGAGCGTGGCTGGTATGACCAGCACTCACGGCAGCGCCCGTTGGCTCTGGTGGATGGTGCCAAGCATACTGCTGAAATGCAATGTTCTACAAGTCCCACTTCCTAACAGTAATGATCATTTTAATTAGTTACTAATAGAGCTCCCGTGGATTTATGGTTTGAGCAAATAAAGTTTTAATCTTCTTAAGCATTTAATTACTGGGATTTGAAAGGCATTACTTTGTGGGTAATAGCAACTATTCTCTTAAAACGAGACTGGGGTAAGGGCATGGAAAGAATTTGGGAAATAACTTTTGTCTGGGAAAAGTGTTCTTTTCTATCTAACTCTTTCATCCTGAAAGAAAGAAATTAAAAGAATGCACACTCTCAAAGAGAAAGGCTACCAAGAATAATTCTAGAGTAATGTGAAAATGGTTCTCTTCAACATACTTGTCAAAGGGGCTTCTCAGTAAACATACTAATTGTTAAGATGCTCAAAGATTAAAAGTAAAGTTCATTAAAGGAGAGCATTGCGATAAAATTTAAGTATGTGTTCAGAAAAGATGGGTATTTAGAACATGAGCCAGGAAGTAGTACAAAAAACATTTCCAGTATTTCCATTAATAACTACTATTTCCTTTTTCTGTGTGTGGTACTGGGAATTGAACTCATGACCTCACACTTGCCAGGCAAGTGCTGTGCCACTGAGCTACGCCCCGGGTCCCAATACCTACTATTTCTATAAATACCAAATTAAGGTTCCTTACTGCTTAGCCACTGCTACCCTCTAAAACATGAAGTCTGGGAGTGTCCCTTTCATGGGGCTAATCTCTGGAAAACAGATGGTGCCTCTTGCTTGCCTGTACTTTTGCTTTGAATGGCTTCAAAGATCAGGCTATAGAAGGCCTATGGTGTAAGCATCAGTCAGAATTCTCATGAAATCTCTATCACACTAATGCCACATGCCAATGTGTAATGGGGGAAAAGGGAACTCACTCTATACTGTAATTTTTAACATTCTGAAACCATGTGTCTTATTTCATGGGTGGTTATCCAAGAACTAAAGAGCTAAGCAGGAGGGCATTTGAAGCCCGAAGTGCACACCTGGCTTGGCCTACGGACACCTACCTCCTGCCGCTCTACGTCCATGTTCCAGATGACAATGCCACCGTCGCCACTGCAGGAGATGAGTTGCCGCGTGTGCTGTGCATAGGAAAGGGCCTGGACCTTGTCACTGTGAAAGAAACCAAGGGTCGTTGACAGGGTGCTCTGCGCCTCAAGCGTAGACCTTGGGAACCTATCAATGGTCAGAATTAAAGGACGCCTGGGTGCTGCTTCAACATTAGCCAATGCCTAAAGAAAGTGCCGATTGTTCAATTGGTTGCTATGTTTTACTGGCTCGCTCTTTCTTTTTTTTTTAGATTTTCTTTCTTTCTATTTACTTTTATTTTATTTTGAAGTATTTCTTTAAGATCTACAACACATTCATAATTTTTTTCAGTCATGACTTTACATTTGAAAAAAAATACATTTTAATCATTTTTGAGGTCATCTATGGAGATGTCTTCTGGGTTCAGGTGACACAGAGGGTGGCTGGCTGTGACCTTGGGCATGAGAATCACAGGTGCTGAGGCCCCAGCAAGCATTTCCTTGAGCCCCAAAATGAATCCAAAGTAGTGCTGGCTTGGAACCTCACTCATGTTCACTACTCTAATTTTATTTCCTCTTTTCTAGTGTTTTAAATTGTTCCTTCTAGTTTGTACAGAGCTGATGAGTCACTTCTTCCTCCCCCAGGGGTTAGAATGACAGAGAGTTCAGTTTTCTGGACGACAGTTTGATGATTACTAGCAATGGGCCATAGAGATCTACAGAGAGCAGGGTATCTGGCTTCTTGGTGGGTTTTGTTCGTATTTGTATATTCTGAGTTCAAATCTGTAAGAATGTTGTGCCTGCTGGGGAGGAGAGCAGTGCTCAGATATCCAGACCAATGACGTAAAAGCATCACAGTGGAAATACTACCTGTTCACGCATGAACTCTGCATGACAAGGCAGCTCTGAGCTGTCTGTGCCCTCCCTCTGCCCTCTGCCCTTGTGAAGTGAGCTACTTTGGTACAGTTCAGTAAGTTACAGTTAAAATAAGGAGTCAAGTCTGTGCCAGGGGAAATAATGAAAAAGAAATACAAGGAAGTACGTATCTTTGTTTTTTGGGTTTTTTTTTGCGGAACTGGGGATTGAACTCAGGCCCTTGCGCTTGCCAGGGAAGCGCTTATTCTACTGAGCCATCTCCTCGGCCCTGTATCTTTGTTCTTTCTTTCTTTCTTTCTTTCTTTTCTTCTTTTTTTTTTTTTTTGCAGAACCGGGGATTGAACTCAGATCCTTGCGTTTGCCAGTCAAGCGCTTATCCTACAGAGCCATCTTCCCTGGCCCCTGTATCTTTGTTTCTGAAAGAAAATACTTTTGAGAGTTTTGTTTCAAATTAATGCTTCTCAAATCTTTTGCTTTCAGGATCCTTTTATACTTCTAAAGTTTATTTGAAGACACCAAAAAGATTCGGTTTAACACATCGGTTTATTTTTCAAAAACCTATTTATTTATTTATTAATTTATTTGGTACACGGTCTCGCTACACAGCTCAGATTTGTAGTGATCCTCTTGTCTCAGCCTCCCCTGTGTGCCACCACGCCTGGTTTTGGTGGCCAGCACAGTATGCCTGGGGTTCCAGGGCCAGCACGACATGTGATACTGGGGATCGAACCCAGGTCCTTGTGCTTGCCAGGCAGGCGCTTAGACTGCCAGGCTATCTCCCCAGCTCAAAGCTTTGGTTTCAATGAATGAAAACTATCAATATTTACTGTATCTCAAATTAAAAGAGAAGTTTAAGAAATATTGATTCAAATGAAAAGATGAATCCATCTCATTTTAACATCATGTGTATTTTGTGAAATCTATGTTTCCAAAAGAAAAAATTTTTGTTAAAAAAAAAGCAATTGTTTAATAAGCCTTTCTACTGTCTGGTTTAATAAGAGATGGAAACCCATATTTTTCTGCATTTATTGTGACCTCATTCATCATGCAGCCCATGGAAAACTGCACTGTATACTCTGGAGATCATATGGATGCTAACGGCAGTCCTAAAGTGCTAATCTGCTGCAGAATATGAAAGGGAAAAATGAAGGACACAGCTTGCAGAATGAGTTTTATTTGCTTTGATTTATAGTATCTGAGGCTAAAAAGGCTATGAAAAGCATTAGAATTTTGGCAAAGTTCTCTCAGTGTTGACATCTTGCTTCTCTCGTTTACTGATCAACGCAGTATAATAGGTGGTATATCTTTACCTTCTACATAGCTGGCAGAGATTCTATGTCTCACCGAATTATTTTTAGTGCTTTATGCTGACTTGATCAGTGTCCTTGGATTATTTAAGGAGAGAGATGACAAAAAGGGCCTTGCAGGGGCCAGGGAGATGGCTCAGTGGAGTAAGTGCTTCCCTGGCAAGTGCAAGGACCTGAGTTCAATCCCTGGTTCCACAAAAAAAAAAAAAAAAAAAAAAAAAAAAAAAAAAAAGGGTCTTACTTGTTCAAAGGACTCAATTCTTTAAAAGTGTATATTTTCAATGTTTATTTAAAAGTGTTTAGAGGCCAGGGAGATGGCTCAGTAGCAAGGGTTCTGAGTTCAATTCTAGGTCCCACAAAAAAAAAAAAAAAAAAAAAAAAAAAAGAGGTTTTTGAAAGTGTTTCAATCAAGTACATAGCCAGGTGCTATTTCTGGAGCACCTGTTCTGTTGTCCTAAATAAGTACCCAAGACTTCTGAGACAACAGACAACTCTTCTGGCCCTGCGGGGGGTGGGGGATGGGGGAGAGACAGACAGACAGACAGACACACACACATACACACACACAGAGACAGAGACAGAGAGAGACAGAGACAGAGAGAGACAGACAAAGTTTTATACCTAACTCTGTTTTTGAGAGATACTGGAAAATCATAAGGATTTATACCTTTACATCATAAAAATACAGATACTATCTAAAACTGTATTTAATGTGTTACTGTTTTAGGAGTTAGGGATGCAAGTGATGCTCAGAGGTATAGCATTTGCCTGTTATGCAGAAGGCTCTGTGGAGGGGAAGGGAGAGGAGGGGAAGGGAGGGAGAAAGGAAAAGAGAAGGAGAGAGAAAGAGAAGAAAAGAAGGGCAGGAAGGGAGAAGAGTCACATGAAAGCATGAAAGGAGTTGCCAGCTTTGCCTAGGCTGAGAGAGTATTAGTAAAATGTTATTAATAAAAACATTTTAGATATTTTATGGGAAGACTCTGGAAACTGGCTAGTATCCTAATTATCTATGAGATGTTTTTACCCTTTGGGAACATAGAACTCAAAAGGAAATAGCTATGGAGGGTATCCCAACTGAGGAGTTTACTGTCTCCCGTTCTGATATTACTGGTAAGCTACTAAGTTTCTATAACCTACAGCCAACTTTTGTATTATCCTGCTACTCGCCTGAGGGCCCTGCTGTGAGAACAGGCCAGCGTCTATGACTTCAATCAACAAGAATCTCACGAGTTTCCTGGACAGGCCTGCATGTACCAGGTATTTAGGGATACCGCTACTTCAAAGAATAGACAGCTGGGATCAGGCCACGGAGCTGATGCTGCTCAGATCATTTTTAAGCCGTGCCAGTGGGATGAGTCAAGATTTCTGGGCTCTCTTCAGTCTGGATGCAGATGGCTTTATGAACATGGACTGCTAAACCAAGAACCAACAAAAGAAGAATTAATTACAGTTCATCCATATGACTGAAAGAACTGAAGAGTAACATTTTATTGTGGATAGTTACTTGGAATGCTTTTTTGTTTTGTTTTGTTTTATATTTTAGAGAAGGGTCTACAGGGTGTTCAGGATCTCACTACTAGATCAGACTCATAGTGATCCCCTGTTTACAGTCTCCAAGAGCTGGGATTACAGGCGTGTGCCACCATGCCCAGTCTCAATTGCCATCTCAGTGCACCCTGGGAGCGGGGCCGGCAAGGTAGGCCGGGGATCAAACCCTGGCCCCTGCGCCTGCTTGCAGGTGCTTTAATCTGCTGAGCTATCTGGCCGGCCCTTGGAATACTATTTTCATGGGGTTTTTTTGAGCCAGGGATTGAACTCAGGACCGTGCCGTGCTTGCCAGGCAGGTGCTTATGCTGCTGGGCTATATCCTGGGTTGGAATACTGTCAATGATGTTTCTATCTTCTGGATATATGAGGATGTCTTTTTCCTCACTTTTTAAGCCATCTCTAGCTTATGTACATAAGTTCTCCTTTTAATTTTTTTTTTTTTTTTTGGCAGAACCGGGAGTTGAACTCAGATCCTTGCGTTTGCCAGGGAAGCACTTATTCTACTGAGCCATCTCTCCAGCCCCTCTCTTTTTATGATCTAAAACATTTCTTAAATGTATTTGGTACAGGGTCTTACTACACAGCTCAGACTTGTAGTGATCCTCCTGTTTTCATCCTCGCCAGCACTGAGATTACCAGGCATCTGCCACCATGTTCAGTCTCGCCAGCTCAGTGTGCCTGGGGACAGGGCCAGCACAGCCTATGGTGCCGGGGATCAAAGCCTGGTCCCTGAGCTTGCCTAAGCAGTCGCTTAGCCTGCTAAGCTATCTCACTGGCCCTAAAGCAAATATTTTAAGTGATAACCAATTCTCTCTTACTGACCAGAATTTAAAAGTAACTGAGTTCCCTTAATTTCAAAGCACTAGAGTTATCTGCAGAGGCTCAATGAAATTCTAGGCATAGGACATAACTGGGTAAACCGAATGCACACCTGGGAGTATCATACCTGAGAACTGAATCAGAAATGACTCCCTACTCTTAGAACTCTCTGAGCTGAGGCCTACAAAGCCTTTCCCCCCAAACTTTCCCAGTGTATGGCTTTCGTGTATTTTAGGGAAGGGTCCACAGGGTGTTCAGGGTCTCACAACTAGATCAGACTCAGGAGGTAAGGAAGGTACCTTGCAGGGAGCTTAGTCCCTGCTGGAAATTCTCAGATGTTTATCCAAGACTTTAAGCATTGTAGGTAAAGTATAGTAAAGAATTTCTCAGGTCTGGTTTCCTAGCCCTAGAAAAGCAAAAAACAGAGTTTCTGCAAAGTCCAATCAAAGATTCACCATAACAAACTCCCAGGCAGAAGTGAAATTTTGTGGGTGTTATGGTTGAATAGCGTCTAGTTCTTTAAGGGTTCATGGAT